GTAAACCAAGTTTTATACATTTTCTACTATTGATTTATGAATTTAAAGCTTAATAGAACTTTAAAAAGATTTCTAGTTTTTTAAGGCTTATTAATGCTTTTTTACTTGGTGTAGGAAATGTTTTTATATTGCCCTTGTTTCTTTGATCTTTGATAGTGATCTTTTAAAGGTTCACGAATATTTTAGTTAATTAGTTAAGTATTGGAGAAAAAAAATAAAATTTTAAATTACATCATTTGAGAAATTTTACACATCTATAACGTCTATTTTCTTCTCAAATGGCTAGATTTTGAAGACTCATTAACAAAAGGAGCAAAATGGGATATTCTCTTCTAGTTTATGTTCTTATGTCACATGGTAACAGTTGGAGTGCACCATTGTGTGGTTTTAGGCACCCTTGACACCCTCAGGAATGCCTAACTCAATCTAACCTTGCGTGTCCCACTCAAGGAGATGGATTGCTCAAGAATGACTCACACAACAATGGAAGTAAAGTGCATAAAAAGTAAAGCATAAGAATGATTGGTAAAGGAAGTTGTGCACCCATTCTTTATAAAATGCATGTACAATATATAAAACCTTAAAGCATTTTCTCCTTAGCTTGAGCTTTGCATATTAGGGTGGGATGTCCTTTATATAAAAGGCTACCTTTTACAACTGTTATATGGCCTTATGGAGGGAAAATTTAATCTTAAATAGCCCCCTTTTTCTAATAGTTATTCAGAGGAGCCTCTACCGATGATTTTCAAACCTTTAACTTGTTGGAACATGTTCCTACTTATTGGAATTGCGTTTTTCCTGTTAGAGCTAAGGAAGGTTGGGCCACTTATTTTGGCAACTGGTAGTTTTGGCCTTTTAGGTCAGACGTTGACTCACCTAGTTGCTTGGCCTACCTAGCACCTTTCTTAACATTTGTGCTACTAGTCTCATTGGACTCTCTTAGCCAACTCCCTTCACATCAACACATTGCCATCTTTTTGGATCTTGCTCAATGGCCTTTTTTGCCCACATCCCTTTGGACAGGCACCCTGATAGCCTATTCTAAGCAAGCCCTAAGCTTCCTTAAGGCTTATTGGCTCCCAAAGCACCTTTCTTTTAGGTTGATCTCATGAGCCATGACATTTTTTCCTTACTCAATTCAACAATGTCCTCGTTGCTAGGGGATTGTTGCGTTTGTCTCACGCTTTGTTGCCTTATGTGCCTCACACATCTTTACCTTAGGCTCCCTAGCCCTATGTGCACACTTCGTGTGATGCTATCTCAAATGCTCCTGCATAGCACAAGCTCACCTCGGGAACTTTTTCTCCACACACTGCTACTTCAAATGCTTTAACCTAGCACACACTCACTTTTAAACTTGACAATTTTGGACATAACACGAGAAGACATAGAGTTAAATATATATGAATGTAGCCTTATTTTGTTTCATATGTTAATTGTGTTGACATGTTTAAGACATGATAATGTCATGCTTCAGATGTATTAAACTCACTTAGTGTATTAAAGATCTGTTTAAACATGTTTAGTTAATTGTGTTATAATGTCAACTTGTATAATTTGACCTGTATAACCCATTTAACAAAAGTATTGAAAATACTATTGTAGCCTTATTAACATAATTTCAAATTATTTATTGATATAGATTTAGACAATAATATTGAAGCTAATGCAATGCTTGTTGACTTGGATAAGGAAGTTGATGAGGAGATCAGAAGGAGGCAATTATCTTTATTAGTGAGAACTTCACTACCACAATCTTGATGCAAAAAATCGTGCAGTAATCCTTTTGAAGATGACAACATTAAATTCATGTTAGAAAATTTGGGAGAGATTGCATCTACTATTAGAAGCCTAAGTGATGATAAAATTGATAATGTTTTTCTTTATGCTCAAGTGATGAGTATGGATGTGTATGAAGAGCAATTCTTATATTTGTATTTGATTATTTAATGGAACATGAGAAGCAAGCAAGAACATTCATGGTCAGGATTGACAATCTGAAAAGAGTTTGGCTAAACAATTTCATGTTTCGTGGGGATGACAATTAAATTTTCTAGTTTGAAGAACTTATGTTGGATATTTGTAAGATGCTTTTAATTATATATGTAGTAATTGTATTGTAAATTGATTAATTATATTCCTAGTAGGTTTATGTAGGATGATTAATTATATTCTTAGTAGGTTTTATTATTGAGGATAATATTTATAGGATATTTGTAGAATGTTTTTAATTATATATATATAGAGAGAGTGTGTGTGTGTGTGTGAATTTAAAGGATACTTAATCATATTTTTAGTATGTTTTATTATAAATGGAATGTTTTTATTGCATAGGATTTTTAATTTTGATTGATGCATATGCTTTTAGTTATTTTCTTATTATACAATATTCTAATATTGAAAATTAAATTTTAAATGTTTTACACAATTGATGAATATTGATATTTTCAGACCTATAAAGATGTTAGAGAATTGGGCATTTATAAAATTTTATAATTTGAGTGATGGTGGAAAATATATTCCACAAGATGACCCAAACAACGAAAAATATTTACAAGAGTTTATCCAAATAGTAGAAAATATTAAAATTTCTTGTAAAATACTTTACATAGAAAAATTTTTTCCCAACAAGTTATTTTACGATTACCAAGCGAATCCTATATTTAAATTATGACTTCATCTGTCATTTTATTAAGAAAAACAATTTGGTTTGTGTTAGAATGTTCACAAAATTTATTTTTCGTTTTCTCAATAAATTATGAGGGGTGTAATTATAGAAAGAACACACACACAAATTTAATAACTTCACATCTTTTAAAATTTAAATAATTAATGTTCAAATAGTGCATATTATCATGTTATTATTTATTATTTTAAAAGATAAAGTTTGAAAACTTAAAAATTTAAGTTAAAAAGCATGCAAGTGTATTAAAGTGTAGGCTTCACTTGTGATGTTAGTTTAGAAAGAATGAGATTATAACATTGACATATACATATATCTATAATCTATAATATTAAATTAGTCTTATTATTTATTGCACCAATCAATTAAAAAGGAGAAATTACCCAAGGCAACCTACACTTTGTGTGGTAGTAAATTATAATATATCATTTATCCATCTTTTAGGTGACGTTTGGGATTTTATAATGCAATGTGATTACAGGTAGGAGCCGTTTGGTATGAAGGATGTAAAGCACATTACCTGCAATGTGGTTTATTAAATTACATTACAGTGTTTGTTTTATAACAAAACACTGTAATGTAAGATTACAATGCAATCACATTGCAGTCAAGGGATGTAATGTGATTGCAGTCCAAAACCAATGCAATCTCATTACATTACACCCTATAATGTGTTTAAGGACATTTTTACCCATCATCTTTTACAAAAATTACCCACAATACCTTTCAAACCTTTCATTATCGTTTTTGGGTTTTAAGTCTGCTACTTCTTTTCCATTTGCAGCAGACGTTGCTCCTCCTTCATCTCCATTTGCAGCAGACGTTGCTCTTCCTTTTTATAGTCCTGCTTCGGGTTAAAATCTACCATTTTTCTTTTTCTTTCTCTTCTTTTATCTTCCTCTTGTATTCTTCAGATTGGGTTTTTTCTTTTAATTTGGGTTTTCTTCATTGTTATATTTTTGTTATCTTCAGTGAAACAATTTGGCCTTTGATCAGGAAGAGATTTCTGGGCTAATCTCCCGTTTGTTTAAAATTAACCAGTAAGTTATTGTTTCCATTATTTGTTGATTTATTTATTATTCCTTTCTTTCTATTTCCTGATTCC